AATTATACAATGTATTCAGTGGATGATGAAAAAAACAAAACAATACAAACTGAGTATTTTTTGATCAATAAATTAACAACTGTTAGCTGACCAAACGTGAATGAATGAAGATAAAAATTCTGAAAATGATTTGAGTGTGTTGTTCATTTATATATTTGGTACAGTGAAAAAAAAACATTAATAAATGAAAATACTTGTGAAGGAAAATTATTGAGATACATGTTCAACAACAATGATTGGATGAAATAATAAATGAAGGGGAATCATTAATTTTGAGAAAAAAAATTGATTTTTTTTTGTTTGAAGATTCAAACTGATAATAAAGTTTTAAAAGGATTTAAAAAAAGCTATTTCAATTTGAAAAAATCTGTTCGTTATCTTTCAAAACTCATTCCTCTCATTTCTCTCTCTCTCTCTCTTTTTTTGAACGAAAATATTTCACTATTTTTTTTTATCATTTGACAACCACAGAATAAAGAATCGAAACAGCGAAGCAGCAACAACAATAATAAAAAAGAAAAAGAATATATTCAAAAAAATACGACTAACTAACATCGTTGGATTTGTTTTTTTCTTGTTAGTTCATCAACTAATCGACCATGATGATGTTCGACAACAAAAAAAGAAGAAAAATTCCAAATGCAAACAAATTCTAGCCGATTGTAACGAGATAGCAAATTTGATCTTTATAATAATAATAAATTATTTCATTCAAATAGATTTTAATAAACACTTTTTCTTTCCTTCTTTTTCAAATCATTGCTTTCGGCTGAATCGAATAAAAAAAAAATATATATCGAAAATTCAATGCAATGCAATCATCATTCCAAAAACAACATTGATTAGCGCTGCACATGAAAGAAAAATTGTTTAACGAATCAAAAGAAATTAGTAAAATGGTCACATACACACACACACACACACATCTTAATTGAACCAACAAAAAAAAATTGATTCGAACAGATATTTGTATTTTATAATCGAGTAAGAATAAACAACCTAAAGCAAAGAGCAAAGATCAAAAAAATAAAAACTGATGACATCAACAATGAACGAAAAAACAAAAACTGCTATGGTCATCAGCGATCATATTAATTCCAGTTTTTTTCCCTTTGATAATTGCTAAATATTATCATTATTTAGTTTGCGACATTTGTGTTTTTCTTTTCTTTTTTCTAGTATACGAATGATTAGTCCATTAAAAAAAACAAAGATATCAACAACAAAAATGCCTTTGAAATCGATTGATGATTGTGCCATTGACACTTAAGATTACAGGAAAATAAAAGAACATTTTGAAATGACCATAATACTGAATGTACGAATGATCAATATCGAATGTTCAATATTCAGTATTATGTGTTATATATAAGTATTGACGGTCAATCTGATTTTTTTTTGATGATTTATTGCCATAAGATTCAATAGAAGTTTTATATATTTGTTTTTACTTTTTTTGTTTATATTTTCGATATGCATCACAAACAGGATAGAATAGAAATAATGTACATCATATCCCATACATTTTTTTTCTTTCTCCTTTAGAATTATCGACGTGAACAACAACAACAAAACAAAAAAATTCAACCAACAATCAATAGAATAATGAATCGATTCAACAAAAAAATGGGTAATTCATCAAACTCACCCTTACGCTTATCTATTTAATATCAACATTTGGAAATAATAATGAATGAAAAAAAATACATCAGCTACTATTATGGTTAAAAAAACGGTACTTGGATAATAGTTGTATTATCAACTAGTACTTTTTCTCTCTCACTATCTTTGCAATATTATCGAAATCAAAAAAAATATAGTCATTGTCGAATACTACTTGAACGATAGATAGATTGATAAATTTGATTGATTGATTGACCTATCCGAAAACAGCTTCATTAACTAATCATTCAACTAGAATTATAATGACTAAATAAATAATGATCTATTGGATTATTGTTTTTTTTTGTCTTTGAAACATAATAAATTATTATTATCTTTTTAAATTTCCATTTCACACAATATCTTTTATTTTATCTTGTCTGATTGATTAGCAAGAAAGATTATTTTTGTTTTTCTCTCGTCCATCAAAATTTTATCGTTTATGATCGAAAAAAAAATATCTGACCATATGAAACCAAGGGAAAGGCGAAAATATTTCTATAACAGAATCTTCAATGAAACAATGATTCTATCTTTATAATGATACGAAGTGTGGCTAAAAATACTTTATATTTTTTTTCTTCGCTTCTTGTTATTATTTTAACATAAACGACCGTAAAGAAATGTTATATATTGATGATATTGATGGAATATTTTGTGGTCTACATCTGATTTTCTCACATTATAGTTAGATGATGATGATGATGATAATATTTTCTTTATGTTTGTCATCATAAACGTTTAAAGATAATTTTCCAATGAAAAAAAATACCAAAAACGAAAGAAGAAGAAAAAAAAATCATCTTTTCTCGTTATCATAATTGTATGTGGATCTTGGTTAGAAAAAAACGAAAAGAATCAGAATTCTTCAAATTCTGAATACTCATCAGCCAACAGTAAAAAAAACGAAAGAAAGAAAACTTGTTTTAGTTGTGAAGAGGAAGAAAAAAAAAGATAAGAATTTCATTTTTTTCCCTATTCAAATAGCAATTGGTAAGATGTGTGTGTTGTGAAAAAAAAGCCTTGAGTTTTTCATTTTTTTTTCTCACTTGGTGATTTATTCATTCACAGAATATTTTGGAGAATATATATCCATGAAAATAAGAAGGATATCATTATCATAAACCTCAATACTCAATATAATATGGCCATGAAAATATTGACAACAATATAAAAAAAAACAAAGAATGAACGAATGAATTAATGATGATGATATGGTCGATTTTGTTCTATATTTTTTTTTTTGCTGAAAAAAATTTATTTTTATTGTTATTCAAACAAGAAAAGAAAAAGAATATTCATCTTTGACATCGTATTCTGCTCATATTTATCAAATAATATGAACAGAATATTCGATCGAATACTATTAAACTGTTCATGACTTGTTGTTTAAAAAACATGAATTCAAAAAAAAAATGAAAAAAATAAAAAATAAATACATCGATATCATTATAATGATGAATCTTTTTGTTTTGTATTTCACCATGAATTTGATATATATAGAGAGAGGGGAAAATTCGTGTTACTTTTTGTTTCTTGTGAATCCCATATTATAATAACAACAGAATATATTTGGCAAGCGAAAAACAAAAATGAAAAATCATGGCACGATAATTTGATTCGATCGAGAAATACATACATACTATTAGTAGGAGCTTTAGGCCTTTTTTTTGGCAAACAAATTTCATATATTCATCTTTATAATTTCATATTTTTTTGGTACAATCTGAACAAAGCCAATAATAATAATAAAACTTTGAATGACACAAGATAAGAAGTAAATGAATGAATGAATGAAAATCTGAATGGATAAGTTTTTTGATATCGAAGATAACAAATATTAAAAGAAACCACGGTAACGACATCAATCCTTGTGGAATGCTGCCCATTTTATATATATATGAAAATATGTCAATGATAATTTGTGCGTGTAAGTGGGTATCTAAATTTGTCAGTATCAATATTCGAAGTATTTTTGAAAATGATTTTTTGATATATAATAAATGATAGATAACATCGAATTCTGTTAATATAATCGGTTCAAGTATCAAATAACAGAATGATTTTTTTTTCGGTTTTGTTTCTTTCTTTATTGTCGAAACAATCGAAATTCATTGGGGAAGAAAAATGCTTTTATTTTCCATTCCACCGGAATATATTTCAGATATTCTGATTGTAATCATAAATTGGAATCGATTTTTTTTCATAGATTTTAAAGATGTTTCAGATATTTTGCTTTTGTACTGATTTTTTAACCTTCATGCTAATTACCGACTCTAATGATAGTAAAAAGAAACATGGATTTAATTGAATTAATTTTTTTTTCTTCGAAAAAAAATGAAATAAGTTTTAAACTTTCATCAGAATCCAAAGAAAAAAAAATGAAAATAATCAAAAATCCATTAAATTTTGTTCATTGAACAGTAATGATTGTGAACGAACAAATGATAGTTTTTCTTTATGTTTTTTTTTCAATCAAAATTCAATTGATAAAAAAACTTTGAATTCTTTTTTTTGCAATTTTCAGTTCCTGATATATACTGTGTGTGTGCGTGGAAAATCAATGGCATTTAATTACAAACAAAAAAAAACTTTTTTTTTGAAAAAACGATGAAATCAAGGAAAATGTCATGGATAAAAATAAAAACGGAAATTATAAATGTTTCTTTCCGTCAATGAAAATCCAATCATTTGGGAAATACTGTGTGTGTGTCTGAAAAAATCAAACAAATTCTCATAGTGATAACCCAATGAAAATAATGTTTGTAAATAGATGAAAAAATGAAAAATATTGACATTGTAAATTCAAAAAAAAAAATCATCAGTATCAAATGATAAGAATTTGAATAGAATGTGAAATTCAAAACAAAACAAAACAAAAAACATTTGTAAATAAATGATTATTTTTCCGCATTCAAAATTCTGTGAAAGAAATCATTTTTTTTCGCTTGTTTGTTTGCCTGAAAATTTGAAATAAAACCATATGATCAATTAGCCATGAATTGATGCATATGAGGAATGGAATTCAAAGCAAACTGCAGTGTGTATGTGTGAGTGTTAAACGTGAAAATTTTATTCAGTTATTTTGAAAAAAAAATTACATCTAAATCAAGAATCACGAACATGTATAGAGGGAAAGGAAAAACCAAACGATATGTTAATAAAAAAAGAAAAGAAAATCTGATTTGACATGAATTTTATGTTGTTGAAATATGTAATATATTGAATCTCATCAATAATAATTTGCTAAAGTTAGGTAGGTATTTCACATATATTTCAATGAAACAAAAACAAAAAAAAAAAAGAAAAACAAAATGTTTGAGAAAAACTTACCTGTTTCTCACTCTCAAATAGATGATGATGATGATGAATTTTTTCTTGGATCGATATTTTTTCTCTCTTTTGGTTGTCATCGTCGAAAAAAAAGGTGTTTATTTTCATTAGAGAAATATTTCTATTAATATTAAACTTTAGCCACTTTTCCTGCCCAACCAGCTTTATTACTTCGTATACGTTTTTTACCCAATAACATTCGTTTGAATGCTGTACGAAAATCTGGACTAAATATTGTATCTGTATTAACAACAACAACAACAACAAACAAAAAACAAAAAGATTTTATTATTAAATTAATCAATAAATGTCAAAAAATTTCAAAATCGATTAATTAGTTGCAACAACAACGAAAAAAAAATTCCCAATATAAATGAAACATATGGTCATAGTCGTACCATTGATTTTTTTTCATCCATAAATTATATTATTCTTTGATGAAAATATTACGCAAAGTTACGATAAACTTCAATTTGCGGTAGTAACAAAAGTTTTTTTTGTTGTTGTTTTAGCTTGTGTAAATGCATTTCATCGAAACACATTTCTGAAATTTTGAATTTTGAAGTTTTTAGTTTTAAAGTGAAAAAACAAAAAAATTTTCGCTATGATTTATGTGTTCAGGATTCATCAGTTTTTGTTGCGAGTGCAAAACACATTTATAAAGCAACAAAGTGGAAACAAAAAAATTTTAAGAATATTTTTTGTAAGCAAAGTTTCTAAAATCAAGTGTGTTTATTTGGTTGTAAAACTCATGATGATGATTATGATGATCTTCGAGAAAAATCTTAGGAGAAAAATTGCAAAATTTTACAAAAATTACAAAATCAAGCCTGATTCCTGTGAAAAAAAACGTTTCATTTTTACACGAATAATTTCAAATTTTTTTTTGTGAAAAGAAATGAAAATAAACATATCGCAAATATATCATAATGTTTTTTTGAAAAATAAATAAATAACAATGTTGACTTAAGGATATGGCCACCGAAATCATTGTTTATCCAACATAAATATATGTGTGCTTGTCTCAGCGGATTTATACCAAAACCAAATAAATAATACAAATGAAATGAATAGAGAGCGAAAAAATTTCAAACGCAAACACAAAAAAATGATAGTTTTATAATTTATTCAATCAATGTTAAAAAAAATGAATGAATGTTGCCAGAATCAAAAAATAAATGACACATTTTTTTTTCTCTCGTTATTTTCATAATGATAATAATTAGAATATTTTTCTTTTTGGCTAATGTATGTCATCAGGAAAAAAATACAACAACAAACATCTAAATTATATGAATATGAAATTGATAATCTATCATTATGACCATCATTTATGTGATCAACAAACATCCATAGTGTTTTTAGCATCTAAAATGACAAAATTTTCGACTTTTTTTTTGAAATGTTTTTTAGAGTAAAATTTAATTACGATGACATCAATATGACATTAATATGTTCATATGTTTAATGATGATGATTTAAATTATTTGTAAAATGTGATATTTTCATCTGAAAAAATATGTTGAAACAAAAACAAAAAGTTTGACAGTTGAATGAATAATAATTCTGTTGAGTTGTGTGATTCACAAACAAACAGACAAACAGAAACAAACAAACAAAAACAGAATCAATTTTGATTTTGAAACAAAAAACTAAGCTCAATATGAATATTAATTTTGGATGAATTTATCAAAATCAAGATAAAAATAAACTAAACAAACAAACATTTGGAAGTTTGTTTATGAAATTTCATTTTTCTAGAAAGAGAAAAAATTTCAATGACATTCTACAACTGACATTATTTTCAGTGTCATTTATTTCCCTTTGAAAAAGGATGGCTGATGATAATGTTAGAATTTTCAAAATTCTCTCAACATGGCTGAAATGAAAATATGAAATTTTATTCACTTTCAAGAATATTAAACCATCATCATCGGGTTAAGAAATAGGCAAAGAAAACTATCTATTTTTTTTACCACAATTACTTACAGACACAGACACTGAATCACGAGCAAAATTTATTTACAGAGTGAGATACGAAAACCAAACAAATGTGGAAAGAAATGTAGAATTTCTTTTCCTTTCAAAACGGTATTTTGGTTCTTCTTTTTTTTTTGTTATATTTTCAATTTCATTTTTTTTTTATCAAAATTTGTTTGTTATGATAGACACATTCTATTCTGTTTCATTAGATTCTATAGTTATTATTAGTGGGGTAATAGTTATCGTTTGCAAGTATACGGTAAATTCAACAATATAAAATACAGTAACAATAATGATAAAAAACTCTCTCCATCATCAAGCAAAATGATGATAACAATATCATCATATTAAACTTGTAAAGAGTTACAAAAAAAAGATGAAGATCAATAATTATATATGTGAACAACGTATAAAATGACTTCTTTTTCTTTGTCAATATCCAAAAAAAAGCAAAGGGTAACAAAATAGAAAATGAAATTCTTTTTTGTTTTGTTTTGGTAATATGATGAACACACACAAACAAACAAATACACCCACACTGGAAAAAAATGTTGAATAAAATACACATGTGTGTTGATAATGGGAAAAAAACAAACAAAACATCAAAATACATAGATATTTCACAATAACGAATATGATCAGTGGTTTTTTTTTGTTTGGTTTCTGTGAATTATTCTATTCTATTTTTTTCATTTGATCGATTGTTTGTTTGTTTGTTTGCTTGTTTATAGTGATGATGGTTTGATAATTTTTTTTCCTCAAAATTTCCAAATAAAATTCCATAACACACACACAGATTCTGCGGACACACCTTGAGTGTTACGTTTATTTATCGATTTTGGTAATATAATCTAACTATCGTTTTCCTTGAGGAGAAAGTTATCCATCGTAAAAATAAATAATTACCGGCTAAAAAAAAGTAAAAGTGAGAAAAAATATCAGTAATTGATACCTTATACTTGAATAATGGCAGTGAAACCAACTTTTTTTTTTGTTAGTTTATTGTTATTAGCAAATGGAATGGCAGTGTGTATTGATAGAAATTGTAAATTAACTTTGTGTATGTTTTGATAACATTGATTTTTTTTGTTCCTGGTCATCATAATTTTTGTTGTTGTTGTTGTTGCATGGTGTTATATTATTGATTTCCTTCGAAAAAAAAGTAAAAAGATAAATAGAGAATGTACATGGTGGGTAAGAGAGAAAAAAAAGTTTTTCCTCCATTCCACTTTTTTCCTGTTAAATAATTTCTTTCAACATTCAACAAAAAAACTAACGATGAGAGAAGCAAAAGATAAAAAAAATTTGCAATGTGTTCCGTTTATAAACAATATGTGTTGATTTGATTTTTTCTTGTCTGTTTGATTAACAAGAATAAACTTCTTTTGAATTAACACCGAGATTCACCTTCAATGTTTTTTTTCTTCTCTCTCTCTCTCTCTAGGTATGCTTCTGAATGGTCGAATATAATTCATTGAGCCAAATAATTGAATACAATATCAGACGATCATTCAACTCTCAACTATACACACAATGGCTCAATATAATGAAGTTTTTTTTTAAAAAAACAAACTTTTTTTTCTCAAATTCATCACCATTATTATTCTGTATACAAAAAAGTCAACAAAAAAATATCGAGTTTTTTTTCAAAACAACAAATGGAATCTGTTACCTAATAAGAAAAAAAATTTTCGACCATTATTCGGAATATAAAAATGTAAGCTCATTTTTGGGTTCATCAAAAAAACTATACACGATCTAACAAACAGAACAAACAAACAAACAAGTAATGTTTGCCTTGAAAGAAAAACAACAGCAACAACATTGGTCAAAAAAAAGTAACTAACAAACTAGATAAATAGATAAATTAAGCCAAAATAAAAAACTTGGACTATGAAAATAACAAAAATAACTTCATTTATTAAATGAAATAAAAAAAGATACAAACACACGTTCATAGAATTACCAATCATCATCATATATGAGATCAGCTAGAAAAACNCACTTTTTTCCTGTTAAATAATTTCTTTCAACATTCAACAAAAAAAAACTAACGATGAGAGAAGCAAAAGATAAAAAAAAATTTGCAATGTGTTCCGTTTATAAACAATATGTGTTGATTTGATTTTTTCTTGTCTGTTTGATTAACAAGAATAAACTTCTTTTGAATTAACACAGAGATTCACTTTCAATGTTTTTTTTTCTTCTTCTTCTCTCTAGGTATGCTTCTGTATGGTCAAATATAAATTGAATATAATTCATTGAGCCAAATAATTGAAAATAAAATACAATATCAGGCGATCTCATTCAACTCTCAACTATACACACAATGGTTAAATATAATGAAGTTTTTTTTTTAAAAAAAAACAAACTTTTTTTCTCAAATTCATCACCATTATTATTCTGTATACAAAAAGTCAACAAAAAAAAAAAAAAAATATCGAGTTTTTTTTGAAACAACAAATGGAATCTGTTACCTAATAAGAAAAAAAATTAAGCGCATTTTTTTCGGGTTCATCAAAAAAACTATACACGATCTAACAAACAGAATATACAAACAAACAAGTAATGTTTGCCTTGAAAGAAAAACAACAACATTGGTCAAAAAAAAAAGTAACTAAACAAACTAGATAAATAGATAAATTAAGCAACAAAAAAAAACTTGGACTATGAAAATAACAAAAATAACTTCATTTATTAAATGAAATAAAAAAAGATACAAACACACGTTCATAGAATTACCAATCATCATCATATATGAGATCAGCTAGAAAAACTTTATCATCATTATTCATAATCAACATTGGTCATCATCATAATGATCATCATCACATGATGATGATGATGACTAGATTCATTTGGTTTATTATCTGCATAAAGATACATTTTTTTTGCAATTAAAAAATTCTGTTAATTAATATTTTTGTTATCATTATTCCACGACCAAAAAGAAAAAAGTCAAAAATTAAAAGTTGGCAAAAAAAATGTCTAATCAATAATTAATAAATCCAGAAAAAAAACAAACTACACTTTCTTAATCCTTATAACCATGGCTTTTTTCCAAAACCATAAACTTTATATAAATTGATAAAAATGAATATAGTTTTGACGGTAACAAAACAAAAAACACTTCTTATCATGATAATACTTTGAATCGGTAACACACACACAAAAGTTTTGATCCCCGAATAAATAAATAAATCATACAATAATAAAAATGATAATAATAATATTATAAATATACTTACAAATAATGGGATTAACACAACTGTTTATATAACCAAGCCAAAGAAAAAAATCGCTGATAAAATTTGGTACAAATTCTTGATATGAACGAGATAATGGTGACAATAATGCATTGATAAAAAATGGTAGCCAACAAATCACGAATACACCTGTGTATTCAAAGCCGTGTGTAATCAATTCAATGATGATGATGATGATGATGATGATGACAAGTGTAGAAAGCCCGATTATTAAAGTGTATAATGGTAAAGGAAGAAAATAAATTAAAAAAATACGAGAAAAAAGAAAAAGAAAATTAGCATTTAATTAGCTTTACAAATGATAATACGTATGGAAAAGTGAAAAAACGAAGCAAACAAAAAAATTTGCTTATTATATAAATTTCATTTAATTCAAAATGTTTTTTTTCTTCTTCATTATAATGTAGAATCTGAATAGACACACATTCACACACCTTGATGTACAATCAAAAGAATCAAATGTATGAAAAGAAATAGATGATACTGGTATTTTTTTTGTGGGGTGAAAAAAACAGAAAAAAAATGAACATCATCAACAGCAGGGACAACAGAATAATAATAATCTTTTCATGTCTTTGTTGTTGTTTATCTAACCTTGGCTTTTTTTAACGTGTATAATGTGAATGTGTTTTTGTATGCAACAACAAAAAAAATAAATGGAAATCAGAAAATTGAATCAAGTTTTAGATAATTGAAAAAAAAACAAAATTTTTTTTTCACTATAGTCAACGATAAATTGAATTGAATTGAAGTGAAAAAGGTAAGATTCTATAAAAGAATTTTTTTCTGTATATGATATTTGCTGCTGTTGTTGTTGTTGTTATTTGTACGATTCAAAAAAGGGAAATTGATTTTGTTCAGTGAAATTTTCACATTTGTATAATTATGTATTCTCCAGCAACAAAAACAAAAACAAAAAATCTAATTAATTGCTTGCTGGAATTAGATAAACTAATATGCAAACAAAACAAAGAAAAAATGAACAAAAAACTAAATAAATGAATTACATTATCATTTTGTTGCACGTATATTTGTGATTGATAATTACAAATAGTTTCAATTACCAAAATATTTCCAAAAGCTATCATTTCTGTATTGAAAAACAAACAAAAATCATCAAATTTTCAATTGATTTTTATTATCGATTTTTTTTGTTGTTGCTGTTGGTTTTGTTCACCAAAATTGACAAATTGGTGACAGGCATTGAGAAAGATAACAAAAACTGTTTGTTTCATAAACAAATCTTTCATTTAATCCCACAATACA